TAATTTTATATTGCTAATTTTTTTTGCTAATTTTTTTTTTTTTTTTTGGGAGAAAATGTGCAAATGGGTCTTTTGCGCATATTTATTGTAACATTTCTATCTATTGTTATGCTAATTAATTCGAATAAAAACAATTATAACAATTCCAATAAATGAGCCGAAATAAACTACAGAGGTTTTTAATAATCAAAGATTATTTGACATTGCCACATCTGTAAGTAATTCTCTGGCTTAGTAATTTTAATCCGATTTTTGATTTTTGCTATTAGTCAATAACAATTACAGTTAAGAATTATCAATACAACTGTGTTATTGTTCAACATGCATCAAAAAATTATTATCATTCATCTAAGCGGGTAAAATTAATTGTTGAATTATTTCCCATTTTCAGCAAGTATTAATATCGTTATTCAGATACTTTATATCTGTATATCAAAAGAAAATACTAACTAATAATATAAAAGTAGTAAGTTCTGTATGTGATAACCTAAATATATCATTGATAAAACAAAAGCTTTTCAATGAAAAGATTCAATTGTAGTTTTTAGATTTGATAAGCTCAAACAGTGATAAAGTTTGCACTAATTATCTGAATTTACACTCTGTAAATATCCCGTACTTTGTTGACTTTGTCGCAGTTTGCGCTCAATAACATTCATCTTTCTTATTTCATTGCTATCATTACTCTTGAAAATTTTCCGCCATAATGATTTTTCATTAAAGAAATTGGTTAAATGTATAATGACTCATTGATAATTTTTAACCAAAAAATTGTCGAATCAGGTTATCAGTTCAGTGACAAGTTAATTAGTTCGGCATGATAAGAAAAATCCACTTTCCGATCATATCATTGTTTTTTTCCAGAACTGGCCAAGTTTTGGAGAAAATAAGCAAAAAAGCATTACCTTCCGATCTTGTTGTTCTTTCAACATTTTCAAATAATGTTTCCATATAAATATTTCGAACTGAGCACAATCAGTAGATTCATTACTTTGAAATTTTCAAAAAACCATTCCTTCAAAGATTCTTACTTGATTTACGCTATTTCAATTGGATAGTGTCTATTTGATCTTTACTTGTAGCATATGCTTATATGATGACTTGGCTAACAAGTGTCACAACATTGACAAGATCATCTGATTATTGTCATGAAGTTATGGAAGTTAGAAAAGATGAAGTAGAGAAAGATTATAAGCATGACTGAATAAATTCTTGCATGATCATTTGATTAATGATATCGGTCCTTTAGATCAAAGATTACAGGATTTGCTGATCAATGTTGTGAATATTTAAAAAAAACTATTGTGAGGTGAGAGAAAGAAATTTCACGGAAAAACTGGAACATATCTATTTGATTGTCTTATTTATCTCCACCAATTTTTTTCTTTTTTTTTTACTTCAAACATGATAATGGTTATTTAGATGAGAATAAAAGATCGTGTAGTTTGGCGCTTTTGATTTCGTGCTAGGATGCGCCATATTAAAAAAAAAAAGCCAAGATGGTCACCAACATTTTCAGAAAAAAAAAGAGATGAATCAAAATGAAAGCCATTGGGAAGGAAGAAATTAAAAACGCTTAAAATTCAGATTTTTTGAATATTGAAGATATGCCTAATTCCATTCAGAATTCTGTTGTACTTAAAGACATTCTCACCAAATACTTGAAGAAACTTTATCATTAAAAAAAAATATCTCGACATGTGGACCTTATGTAAACTGAATTGAATATCTTGTTCTAGAATATTACTTATTGATCAGCCAGATCAAACGGTCACAACTACAAAGTAGCTTGGCCAGTAAAGTAATATCAGCAAATCAATATTAGTAAATAATAATGAATTGATATCGATTTTTCGTCTGGTTAATATTAGTAATTAATACCGGATTAATATTGATGAAACAAATTATTATCAATAAATCAGTTACTTTTGTTAATTGGTTTAGTCAAAATTGCATATGATTGCCGTCAAGCTCATCCATGTGTAATGTTAAATAAAAATTAATAAGATGAAAGAGAAGTGAAACTTTGAAATTAAAATTTTATTCGTGAAATACAGGAAAAAATTTAAATTTATTTTGCATAATTAACATTAAATTTAAAAAAATTAATGTAATTTATTTGATTCGAGTGATTTTGGATGACATTTTTTGGCGTGCTTTTGAAAATGTATTCGACGTTGAAACATTTGTTTACACTTTGGACAAACGTATTTGCATTCTGTATTATGGATATCCGAATGAACTCGTAAATCATTCCGACGTACGAAACGCTTCTCACATTGTTCACATTTATACCTGAAATACAGTGATAATGAATCATGTAGATATAATATGAAAGATGATAAAATCATGGGTATATTCCAAAGGAAAATATTCTGAAGGGCTGTTTCTCAAGTTACAGTAATGATAAGAATTGATGAGATCATGAATTAATGGATGAATTAGTGATAGAGAAAGCTAAGTTGTTGTCTTACTCATATCATAACTGGAAATGATGATTTCATTACTCATTACTTAAATCCATAAATTGTTAACTTAAGAGTTCTTTTTTTTTTGTTTTTTCTTTTTACAACAGAATAGAAAGACATACGGTCGAATGTGAGTGTGAACGGAGCGAATATGAGCTGCCAAGGCCTACAAAGTAGAAATGATAGGACACGATCACGTTTAGAATGACGTGTACACATTTGATGTCCTCCACGTATCTAGCAACTAGGTAACGTGGAATACTTTTTTTTTTGCTACATATTTCAGTAACAGCTAGTATTTGAATAAATGCGAAATTTGCTTTTCAAAGAGATCAAGAAAATGAAAGAGGTCAAATCTTTACAATTTATTTGACAAAAAATGAAAAAATCAAATGAAAAAGAAAAAAAGAAACTAATTTGGATTACTTTAGAACATTTGAAACCAGCATGAGTGCAATGCTTATAAGGGCATATGTAAACATAATTTAAATGTCGCATCATATCATGCCGACGTAAACATCCCTGTCGGCCAAATACAGCAGAACATTTGGTGCATTTAAATGGGCGCAAATTTCTAAATATATATTTGAAATATTACTATGAATTCAAGTGGGATTATATTATCTTTTCTTTTCTGCTCTCCGCTCTTCACAACGGAATCTGTTTTACTGTTCGAATTATATTTTTAAGAATACATCATCGAGGTTAAATTTCTACTGGATGAGAAAGAAAAATAATCAACGAACAAATGTATGACAGCTATGTGTTCACGAAGTAAAGAAGTAGTTGGAAATTCTTTCTGACAAGTGTCACATTTTGGTCGCATGCGTATTTCATGTTGTCGTTTTTGATGCTTCTGAACGGCAGCAAAAGTTCGAAATAACTACAAATAAGCCTATGGACTTTTTTCCAATTGTGTCAAATTCATGATATAAAAATCAAAATCAAAAAAAAACTATCTAAAATTTTATAGTTTGTTTTTCTTGAACCATACTCATTAAAGTTGAAATTTAATTAACACTTTATATCTTCTCAAATATTTGTTTATATGTTTCTTGAACATGAAAAAGTTATCCATAATTATTAATATTTTTTTTATTGGTTGTATCATGGACATGAAAACGTTAAATGCAAATAAATTTCCGTATTGATAGGAGAACTTATGACAAAATTGAATACGATATCATGACATTATATATGACATTTTATTCTAAGTGACATAAATCTGACGTTTTAAAAAACAAAATTAGTTTTCCTTTTCATTTATCACTTCTTTGGTAATTTTGATCAAGTTGGAAGTATTTATTCAAAGAGATTTTTATAAATCACATACCGTATTACATTTCAAGCATCGATATCGTTTACCACGTCTACGCTTCGTGTAAGCTTCATTATTGGGATGATAAAGTAATAGATGTGTTTGTATGTTGTGCTTTAATGTGAAAGCACTATCACATATATCGCAAAGATATTGCTTATTTCGAAAACGGCGATATTTTTGCCGATCATTTCTTATCAGTGATAATGTTTTACGTCGTTTTGGGACAAGAAATACTTCCTGAAAATAAACCTATTCTATTCCACAGATTTATTTTCCAAAAAAAAGAAACAGTTCATATAAAACTTATCAGTGAAATGCAATGATAACATGTTGGACATGATTAAATGCACTCCATTCTTTTTGCTATTTTACAAACTTTCTCCATTACTTACCTCAACATCTTTACATATTTTCCTTGAAGCAACATTAGCACTATTCTTTGGCTCATTCATGGAGCACTGATCCTTCTGATATTCTGGTTCCATCGATTTTATTGTATTTATTTGTTTGCTAAAGAGAATTGTTAAATAAAACATATTCCTGAATGAAAAAAGGCGACCGATACTTTTCCGGAATTGAATATTTCATATATAGAAACAGATGGAAAAGCCCATCTAGAGGTAGGATAATTAGCGTTTAACTTTCACATAGAAATTACCAAATGGATTATATAATCTGCATGATAAAGATAATAATCACTTTACAATAGATGTGCATACTAATTTTTCCATATGAAAATAATGAATTCCTTACTGAGTTTAGGTAAATAAACACTTTGATACTTTTTATTATCCAGTGCAAGTCCTTAAGTGTAACCTTTCTCGTGTACATGCATGCATGCATTCGTACCAAATGATAACATTATAAAAATTTTTTGGAACACTACTTTTTGTCATCATCATTAATAAGCAAGTATCAATGTAGTACTAAATAAGAAAGCAAAAGAAAACAATGAAGATGACATGCCATTGTATATTGATTGATTGCTTTATAGCAGTACAGTTTTGCGGAACTTTTACTGTCCTGTTCTCTCGGTAATTTGTGACAACTTCTACTTCGCAATTTGTACATTTGCAGCAATCACTTTGCAAGCCAAAAATTTCATCTAATACATAATCCATTGATATATTATCTTTTTGTTGTACTTGTATCCGTTCTTGTGGGATTTCATGATATGGGCAGGATGCACCTGTATGTTTCACATATCACTATATTCAAAATTGAATATTCAAATAAATGTAAATTCATTTTTACATTAAAAATATTTGTATATTCATTTCATTATTGCCATCGAATGTCAACTGTCACAAATTCCACTAACTAGTAATGATCTAATCAGGTAATATGTGTTCTGTAAATTTTGTTAGAAACTATAACATATAATCATTAAAATTGTGTAAATTATTAGTATAAGTATACGCAAAAAGCAGGTGTCTAAAAGGAATGAAAAATAAAAGCTAAAACTGATGAAAGTTTATTTGCAGAGCATGAAGAGTAGCCAGTCTATGTCCACTTGATATGATTGCTACTCATGATGGACAGTAAAGAAAGAAAGTGAATGTTAACGAAGTTGGCTTAAAGAAGATCTAAAAATTCTAGCAATGCATTTCTTTTTTCATTTTCAGACTTTATAAATTCATTTTTAAGTTTTTAAATTTTTTTGAAATTTCTGCAAAAAAAAAAAATCATCGATACATATATAAGCTAGAAGTTAGTAAATGATCGGAATATAAAAAAGAAAGTAAATATCAGTGGCATGTTTGGTGTTCTCAATGTTGATAGTACTTAATTTTTGATTACCGTTAATTCTTATTTATCATATTTATTAATCATACCTGTTACATGCATCATCCTTATTAATTTTTATTATCAGTGTTGCTTCTTAAAGATAACATTTCTGTTAAAGATATAAAAAAAAAGCGCAGTTCAACTACCAAAACATGATTAATACCTTCAATACAGTAAAAGCACAATTCATCGTAGACGAATGGCTCATAAAAGAGATCAGCGATACATTTAACAACTCGATGCGACAATTTCTCATCATCAAACCAACCGTACCATTCAGATGACATTTTGAAAATTGTCGAATTTTATCAAAATCCTGTATGCTAATTTTCCTTCCATCTTCACAAATTTGCATAAAGTATGAGTGTCTCCGTGTCTTCTGTCCATTCCTGTCCTCTTCATTTTTTTTCAGAGTTTCTTCGCTCTCTGAGATTTCTCCAGTAAGAATTTTGTTTTTCTAACTGGAAATATGAATTTATCGAACATTGTCACTAATTATTAGGCAATGTTTAGCATTAACCACATCCATTCTCGTGAAGGGGCAGTCTAGTCGAGTTTAGTCTAATCTAGTCTTGCTCAATCTAATCTAGTCCAGGTTTTGAAGCAATTCTAACGTGTAAATTAATCGTCTGACTTTTTGGCATAGTGGCAAAAGACAATTGAACTATCTAGTAGTAGGTTGCCTCAGAAGTTTCTTCCAGATAGCTAATGACGATTAGTCATATTTTAGCAAAGCGAATGATTAAAGGAACTGTGGGATGAGATATCTCCAATCTATTTTCAAACTTTCAATCAGCATGATATCTCGTTTGCTTAAATGAGGCATTAGACATTGAATGTGAGCTCCAAGTGCGCCATTTTTAGTAAGCAGAACTGGCGCTAAGGAATAAACCAAATGTCTTACTTTTTCTTCTTTCTCTCTGATCACAGATTGTTTTTCAATTTGGATATATTTATTATTTATCTTGTTTATCAAAACACTGTAAATGATTTAGAAGGCGGAAACCTGTTTAAGTTAAGGTGGACGCCTGATCCGGTTGGTCAAGACTTCAAACTTTAATATTCTGGAAATTTATGATGATTATTAAGTGAAGTTCTGTTTATCAACAGTAAACAGAATTGTCAGTCATTCCGCCGCATTTCTCTTTTATCGCATTTCTTTTTCATGTCATGTTTAGAACCAAGTTTTTATAATTTCCACACTGTATGAAAATGTTTAAGATAAAGCGGATGACTTATAGGTTCACCTTCTCATAGTATCAGTCTGTTATCAAAGGTGAATTTGAAGAAGTATGTGAGATAAATATGATCTCCATAATTTCCTCATCAATAGCTGGAATATCGTTAATGTATATCACCCATGTCTAATCTTTAAAGTATCTCTAAAAACAAATCCAGTATTTGTATACTGGACTTGTTCGTAGTCCAAGTCCAGTATTTATCATGCTTGAATCATGTAAGTGATTGGGAAAGATGATAGTGATAAGAAAAAGAGAATATGAATCACAAATAATGTTTTAGTACTAAGAGTATTTAGGCGTCATTTAATCTTCCATGCACACGTTTTTCTTATTATTCTTTATTGATGTTAATCAGAAAACATCATCCTAATATCTATCGTTGTCATATTAAAGGTGAACTGAATGTGACATTACTGATTACCATATCATACAATTGAGAAAAAAAAAATCTAAGCAATATTTTGATTTCATATTTCGCTCCTCTGGTTTATGCTTTTCCTCTTGTTTTGTATGACAAGGATCGACTGCTTGAAGTAATGATTCCCAACCAGAAGTTACTGAGAGCTAAAATATGATCCGAGAGGACGATAGTGCGGAAGCTGTTCTTATCAATGTTTGATAAAATAATACATCAAAAGCCTAGGTAAAGTTTATTTTCAAATTAACAGGATCTATTATTTTTGAACCTTTCGTGGTCCCTACTACAAATAAAAAAGCAAAATGGTCATTGGTCAAGAAAATATTGAAAACTACTGGCTTAAAATTGTCCATTTAATTAATGCTGCTGCTTCGGATGCATTTTTTTGTAGTGTGCGGCAAGATTGACAGAATCTTTTGAAGCGTATGGACAATGATTACATGCAAATTTTCTGGAAAACATATCGGAAGTATGTTTAAAGAGTACATGTTGTCGAAGTGACCGCGCTGTTTGTCCACTGAAATGCATTTCCATTTGTTCATAACATGGAAAAAATATAATGCTTCAGTAGATGACAATATATTTCTCTCTTTAAAGATCAAAAAAGATGACAGACCGATATTTGCAATGTTCACATTGGAAACTTGGCTCTTCCTGTTCAGTATGCATTACCATATGATCTAGCATTTCTTGCTGTGAACTTGTTTGTTTCTCGCATTGCGGACATTGATAGTCTTGGCCAATTTTTGTGCAGTATTGCAAGTGGCGGTTTATGTGCTTCTCTAACATTGCTGGGCTTTTTGATATATGCCTACATAAGGCACATTTACGGGAACCTAAACAAAATAAACTTTTGGGAATTTCATGTCAGAAAGATTTGAAATTTGGAAACGAAAGCTTAAAGATTAATTTTTTTATTGCTATCAAAAAACTTACCCAAATCAATATTTTCAGGTAATGGTACACGATGACGGTAAAATTTGTGAAAATGAATATAACGAGCTTCACGGGTACTAAATTTGCAACCTTCTTCATCACATCGTATTGGTGGATTGCGGTGATAAATTGTGACATGATAAGATACCGAGTTGTAGCGACCGTATACTTTTTGGCATACTGTACACATATAGCCAGTTGGAACTCGTTCAATATATTTTTTATTTCGACACCAACCTTGAAATAATTAAACAGTTAATGTAAAGCCTAAAAAAACAAAAGTTACTGTCTAATAAGGAAGCATGATACTAATAACATGATGATATGATAAGAAAAACATGGTACTAACCATGAAAAAACTAATAACATGATAAGAAAACATGATATCATTAACTGATTTGGAGGAGGAAAAAATTACTTTTCTTCCATTATTAGAAATTAGTGTGAATAGATCAGAAATACCTTCACGATCACTGCTAGGTACGATCACTTCATTTTTATATTCTCCTGTATCATTACTTGGAGCGCATTTTATCGTTTTGCGCCACAACTCCATCTCTTTAGCGGTACAACTTACAATTGCTTCATCGATGAAATTTTGTAAACATGGTAATGAATCGAACTGAAAATTTTTCAAAGTAATCAATGCTTACAAATGAACCATCAATTGGTTCACAGACTGTTCGTATCATCTTATAAATGCCGAAGACAATTTGCGGTAATCTCATAAGCACACATGACAGTTTATCATTACTACTGATAACTACTGTAACCATATGTTATCATGAAAACTATTGTATGTTATAAGAAAGCAGTTAAACAATGAATTGGACCTGTAACTTACTGCATATTGTCTTCTTTTGGAATTCCTATCATCTTCTGTGGAAGCATCGATGAGTATATCGCTGTTTGGAAATGATATATTACGATCTATCTGAAACGATTAGTTTAAAATTTGAAATATCAGTAAATGAATTCATAATTAATGACTCAAAATGATAGAATAGCTCAAGCTGAAAGTGATAGAAGTAGGAAAGCTTGCATCTAATGGGAACAAAGTGATAACAGTTTACACTGATACGATAATAACACAATGATAAGATAGGAAGCAGAAGGTAAAAGAAAAATATTCTTAAAAGAAGCGGGAATTTTTGCATTGTATCCAACAACAACAACATGCTACAAAACAATTATCTGTTAATTAAATATTTTCCATAAATAGAGGAAATTAAAGCATATGGTATAAACTCATTAAAAATTATGACTTCTCTCAAAAGTGCACTAATTTAATTTTTAATCTTAACTTTAACTTTTTATTCAGTTTCAAAGTTCATTGAATGCTTTGCAACAAAATAATCTAGTATTAGCGATGAGAAACTTGACATGAAGTATTTAAATTTCGTACCGACTGCATACTTCCTATAAGATGATGTATCCACTCTCTCATTGTTGAAGATGAAATGATTGTCGATGTATGTAAATCTTAATTTCATGATTTATAATGATTAATTTTATCATTTCCTACTTACAGGATACCTTATCAGTATATTATTTACTACTGCTGTCGTATTATTTACAAACTATTTCGTCCAATTCTTTACCTCCTAATCGTTTAATCTCTCTCCTAATCTAATTTTAATCACTCAATCGCTCTTACCATTAATTAAGCAGGAAAATTGATTGTTTTTTCTTAATATCTTAATTATAAATGAAATGAAACTAAATCAGATTTCTTCATCAAATACCTGATGAATGTATCAGTGAGAGTGTGTTGTGTTCAGATGATTGCATTAGGTTAAGCACTTCATCAATATTATATAGCATCGCTAATCGCTTAAGCTATAAAAATTGAACTTTGACAGAAATTGAACTTAATGGATCACATTTGATACATTAATAAAATTGGAAAATTTCTTTTTTAGTTATGAAAACTTTTTCATTTGCATTTCCAATTTTAAAAAAACTGCAAATATTAGCTTCAAAGCTATTAGGAGAGCAAAATGTGGCTATCTAGCATGGAATAAGTGATACAATGGTACGGTATTTCCCAGAAATTTAATCTTGAATTCATTTGGAATATGATTATAATATGATCATAATTTAATGTCGTTTTAGTCATTTCCATTTTAAAAAGCCTCTGCAATAATTATGATTCCAAATAGTTAAGACGTGATTTGGCTAAGATGTGATTTGTAAAATTTACAATTTGTGGTTTACAGTTGCTCGTTTCGAGTGATCCGGTATACATGAAATTGATCAGAGCTTCGAGACAATTAACTTCGTCGTTGGATTTTAAATTTATATTGACCTCTCGTAAACCAACCTATAATTCAATAAAAATTTAAATTGACTTCACTATATATTTTAACTTTTTTTTTGCCTGAATATTTCAACGTATCTTTATTAAATTTATTTAATTTTAAGCATTGACTACGTACATAAATGATTGATATTAGCAAAAAATTGTATAATAATGAACAAGAAGTAATATTTCTAATAAGTACCTTTAAAAAATATAAAAATGGAATTTTTCTAATCTGCTTGATATTTTGCATTTAATTAAACATGATTGAAAACTTAATGAAACTAAGTTTTTTAAATTAAATTGAGTTAAATTTTAATAAAATTAAATTTTGATGAATAATTAATCGTATTCTTGACCTTTTTCATCATATCGCATGGTAACTCCTTTAAAATGTTGCTAAAGCAATGGATTATTATCTGATGTACAAGGATATGTTTAGTATAACCATTTACAGTATCAACACGAATACTGCAATCCAAAAGTTCACCCCTTTGCCGACATTGATGTAATCTACGAATTAAACAGTTGCAATGATCGGGAGCTCTTAGTATTGATGGTAGCATTGATGGTACCAATGATCACTTTTACACTTATTACTCCTGAAAATAATAGAAAAAGTTTGTAACTCTTTCCTACTATCATTCTGTAATGTCAAATTAAAATTAGGAAAAATTATTATTTTTTGCTTGAAAGAAACTAAAAAGATTTAATTCATCAACTAAATAGTAAACGATTTTTCAAAAGTTTCAAGAAATCTCAAAACCATCTCACCGGATATTTTATCTGAAAATTATTAAATACTTGATATATTTGTATTAACGAATAACGAATAGGTTACAATTCGAGATAGTTGAAATGTGATTCGTTGCTTATATATATATATATATATAAGTAAAGCTATTTCAAACTTCATTATTAGTCAATCATAAAGTGTTCCTTTTACGATGCCGTTGAATGAGAATAGGCAAAAGTAAAAAAAAACGATTATCTTCTTCAACTACAGATAAAATAGCAAAGTTTTTATGACTTTTCTAAAATGGTGCACTATAACTGCTATAGCTATAAAGCTCCAGTTGGTACGGACAGAAAGCATAAATGACAAATATTTGAAGTGTCGCATATACATAAGCAACGATGACAAATGACAATTATAACCTTTCCTGATAACAAATGATATTGTAATGCAAAGTAATACTCACTGAACTTCAATCCCCTCATCTCTTTCTCTCCATCTCTCTCTCTCTCTGATCATGTAGCTTTGTCACAACAATGATACTTTCTATTTTTAAACCATTGAAATTTTTAAACAAAAGTTTTTTGCTCAATTTTTGGATTACATCTTTGTGACAATAAGAATTGTGTTGTATTATGATGTTACAGTAATCTTAAACGATTGCCAGATGGAAATTGCAGAATTTTCAGTATTCTTTCTTTTATGATGTATTTATCAAGCCGAACTTATTGAAATCTCAAAAGAAAAGAAAATATGAAGAAATTTTCATTTTTGTCGTACATATCTTTCAAAATAATAAATAAAGCTAAGATGAGCCAAAAAAAACAGACTAATTTCAAAATGACATCTCAATTAAACAGGTACAGTTCTAATTAACAATAATTTCATAGTAGTCTAACGAACTAAAAATTAATGACAACTCCGACCAACTTGGCTAATTGCTTTTTCCTTTAAAGTATCCTAGAATGATTGACTGCATTATCAGTATTGCATTACATTTATCATATATGAAATGAAATGGTTGTATCATAAGGAAAAGGTAAGAACTGGTCTCAGCTAATATCATTATGCGCTATCGAAAAGTCCATAATATTATCACAGAAAAAGCACTTTTGCACTTTCTATGCTTTCTCTGTCATTGATCAATTTTCTCTGACGATTTACTTATTACAATGTTATCATATCACCATCTATCATTATAATCACAACAAAAAAAGTCATGAACAAACAAGAGAAGAAGTTGAGGAATTTTCCTGTCATGAACAAAGTAATCGTCCAAGATAAAATTTTTTTTTTTTTTTTAGATTCTTTCGATTGAGATTTCACAATAAATGAATAGTTTAAAATAGTGATAATGTATGTTGAGAAATGAACGATTGTTGTTATCAATTAAAACTAAATAAAATTATCTTGATCACTAGCAGTACCTAAAAATATTTTTCGAAATTACTCGAGATTTCTTATTGATGATCTTTGATTTACAAGTTTGATTTTTAAGAAACACAAATCATATCATCAGCGGTAACGACGTATGCATTTTTTATATTCTATAAGTGCGATGTCTCCGGAAGAAGCGATAATATTTCACTGATAATAGTGACATTGAATTGTTCCGCACTTTGAATTGATAGGAACAGATTAGTGTCCTCTACTGATAAGTAATATTTCATTCTGACTTCATTTCTTCAAAATATATGCTTTTTGAGTTTAATGCCGAAAAAAGTGATGTCTTCATTTTCATTTTTCTATTTTTTTGAATATTGACGGAAAGTCATAAATGATTCAATTTGAATATTCGTTGATTTGTTGACAGAAATATACTCTATACAATTTCCGATGATACTCGTCATAGTAGTACACCCAATCAACCTTGCTGTATCAAATTTAAAAAACTTAAGCACAATCAAGAATTTGAGAACGATTCGAGAACTACATATCAAAATGTGAAACCGAAATATCTTCGGAATATCATTTATACAAATAAACCAATCAAAATGGTGTTAAAATTGATAGATGATAGGAAGCCAAGTGATTCTTCATGTCATGCAGTAATAGACTTGGATGATCTGGTCAATTTAGCAACCGGTTTCATAGAATATAAAAATTTGGCCCAAACAGGCAAAGTATTCTCCGCAATCACTGAATAGTAATTTTTTGCATGTTATGCCATTTGTAGTCTGAGACTGAGACTGGCCAAGTATCTGTAATTACAGCAACATTTATTACTTAGCAAATAACCTTAGGCCATATGTCTCGTAATCATATTCTTCCGGAAAATGTTGTAAACGATAGCTTTAATCTTATATTCACTCAATATCGTCTCCATCCCCACTCCCAATGTATAAATTTCATAAAAGATCTCGAGGAATTGTTTGAAATATGAATGAATAAACAAGGAAAAAAAGAGGAATAAAAATGAAGGAGTTGACAAGTAATCTTCCTCGATAGGGAGCATTTTCTCTTGGGTTCTATTCACTTCTACTTCATCTTTACTTAGATCAAAACAGGTCGTAGGTCATGGAGATGAAATGATAAAGCCGTAATGTAAGCTATAGTCAAATATCATCATCATTGATGGTCACGAAAAGAATGATAACGTTGGTGACAGAAAATCTTCTTTTCTTTCCGAAGTGGAAAAATCATCTCTTGCATAATCATCTCCTAAATGTTTAAAATGTTAGCTTTAATTAGTTAATTAAACTTAAATTTAGGATATATAAAAGCGAAAACTTGCTTACAGTTGTTTCACTCATGTTTTTCAGATGATGATTTAATAAAAATTAAACCAGCAAATGTTGATAATTCATTAGGATTAGTAATGGCGACAATCACGACACAAAGTGGAACTTAAAAAAGGTAATAAACTATTTTACTAAAGCAGAACCAAGAGAAATTGGTGCTATCTTTCAATCGAAAAATTACTTTCTTTCCTCTGAAATTAATCCTTACGTTAAATCAAATAGAGTTTGCATGAGGATACGTATCATCATGAATTCATCGTGAACTTAGAAAACTCTTTGTTATTATTAATGTCACCAACGAATTGTCACTTTATGTGTAAAACAATTGAAAGTCGATTTGTTGTAGTTTATGATTGGATTATTAAAGGGTAAAGGAAATGTTGAATTTTTCGGGAGTTATCACATCATTATCTGAGATAGTAATGAATTTTTAATTGTCTCAAAAAAAAAATAAATTACTTGAAATTTTACTGGAAAGGATTTTGGAATACCAATTTCCACTTTACGGAGAAGTTTGGCAAGCATTTTACTAATCTTTTGACTTACCGTTATTCTACCGAGGCAAGACTCAATCTAGGTAAGACTCTAATTTTTCCTTAATCAAATGATGGATGAAAGTTTTTTCTCTTAAGCATGGATTCATTTAGAAAAGTGAAAAATTCCTGATTGGCCATTTTCCGGTTTTTCAAATATGATTTTTCGACATATGAAAATATACGGCTTAGTGTTCCCATCATCATTTAATCAAATTTTCAGGTTAAAAATATTACAGGAAATTTAGGAGTTTAGTAATGCTTTTCTAAAATTTTCTGCTCTGTTATTTACTTTGCTTATTCGTCACCATCACATATACTATAACTTTTTTAGACAACTGTCTGATAAGTTTCGCGTTTTCGTTCACCCTTGAAAAACAACTTTTCGGTTCGTAGCTCCTTTTGAAAAGGCTGACTTAATTACCGGTTCTCTGCTTTACATCTCCCGAGAATTCTTCCTTTGCGGGAATTTCACCACGAGATAGTTACAGTTGTCCCGAAATGGAATTACGCCATGGAATTCAGGCAGTCGTTCTATCAAAAATTCGTTCTTTCGCAGTAAGATAATTAGTGGCAAAGTAATTGGTAATTTGTAATTTAAGATAATTATGATGGTAATTTAAGTGGTAATTTAAGATAATTATGATTGTGAAGTCACAACGGAATGATTGCATATTAGGCTATAAACGTTTCCATCGATTTACTGCTTTCCATTTGATTGGAAATTTTTAAAACGTAGTTTCAGGATTGCCTTGTTGTATGAAATATGCTCGGCGCCTTTCTATTAATTAGTTCATTAATTAGTGACAAAGGTCAGCAGTTATTTTATGCAAACGATTTCATATCGTGAATACAAAATACAGCAATATATCGACTCACAGCAATGATTCCCAACCGTTCCTTGACTAATGACCATTTTGGCTTTTTTAGTTGTACCACGGAGACAAAGTTCGAAGTTCAAAAATACTAAATTCTGTTAACTTGAAAATAAACTTTGGCTGAAAGTTTCAATGTATTAGTTAAGCTTAGAGTAACATTATAATATAGAAAAGGAGGAACATAATTTCTAGTTTTCGGGAATCATATTTTAGTTTTCGCTGACTAAATGTGGTCCGTCGACTACCAATTGATAGCTACTGGTCTATAGGTTTAATTTTTAAAACCAATTTTCAATTTTTCTACAAACAACTTGCAATTAAATGATAAAATACAGTATATGTTCCGGAATGGGTTAATGGAGTTGTAGGACTTCACCGCTATGACATTTTAAGGTTAATTTCTTTTAGCGCCTTCTCCCCCCCACTCCCGTTTTTACTAATAAGTGTAAACATGCATTTTGCAAGATCTTTTTATAAGCTTTTGAAGTATCACAGTCTCAGTAATCAATATTTTATCTTGTTTGCATAACTAACCCATCTTCTCATCATCCTCACATTATTACACATTTCTAATCATTTGGTGACATTCATCAAACATCGCCTATCCTCCATGCAAGAAATGTAATACTTTTGCGCCGACAAGGCAAGATTTGCGCAATTTATGAAGATGGGAAGTGATCCTCGAAATTTCAACTATCATTTTATCTAATGATGCTTATCAACCGACTGATGCACTAGTTATTATCGTTTTAAAATATACTAAAATTGAAAATCCCCCGGAAAAGGGAAATGGTAGAAAGTGGAATTTTCGCATAAGGAATCAAAATTTTCCAATTTCCATTGAGATTTGTAACATTCTGGAATAACTAGGATTCTTTCTCGATATTCCGGAATGTCATAAATTTAAATGCCTGAAAGATTCATTCAAAGACTCTTTCAGGCTTCAGAAAACCTAAGCTACATAAGCATAAAAAACAAAAAAGAAAGGAATTCATTCTTTTGTATAATTTATTACGTGAAATGCATAAAATCCAACTTCAAATAATAATGATAATGATAATGATAATAATGATAATAATGATAATAATAATAATAATAATAATAATAATAATAATAATAATAATAATAATAATAATAATAATAATAATAATAATAATAATAATAATAATAATAATAATAATAATAATAATAATAATAATAATAATAATAATAATAATAATA